GCCAATTACCATTTTTGTCTTTTATTAGATAGGATTTTTATTTTTCAGTTCCAGTTTGCATTCCATGTGATTTTGTGTTGCTTTCAGGTGTACAGCATAGAGGGGGACAGTCACATACTTTGCAAAGTGGTCCCCCAGCATGTCAGTGCCCCCTGGCACCACACCCAGTGACTGCAATATTGTTGGCGAGGTGCCTGTAAAGTGCTAATTACTTTTTAAATGAGCTTGGTTAGTATGGTCTTTCAGCAAAGGCTTAAGGAGTGATGATAGTGGCAGGAGTCCCCACAGGACACCCCAATTCCCAGCAGCCTGGGCAGGAGGCCTAAGAGCAATGGGGCCTTCAGAGGGTCCCCTGCCTCCATCACTCACCCTCAGCCCTGCTTTTCTCGGTGGCGAGGAGAAAGGTGAGGCGGAGAAGGAAGTGGTGGGACAGAGAGTACTAGGGAGGAGGAATGGCTTCTTATTTCACCATCATTTCCTCTGGGGCTTTCACCAATTTCCCCACGCCCCAGGGGAGGGAGCAGCGGGTAAGCTTGGCCCAGAGAGCCCCCAGCCAGGCCCAGAGGCAGCTGGCAGGGGAGGGTCCTGCATAGGCCCAGGCCTCCCTCCTCCATGCCCCCTCCCCACCTGCAGTCTTTGCCTTCCTCAGCTCTTCTTCCCAGACAGGCTGGCCCCCCCTCCCTGCCCCCTCCCCACCTACAGTCTTTGCCTTCCTCAGCTCTTCTTCTCAGACAGGCTGGGCGGCTGCTGACCCTGCCAGCTCTGGCACCCTCTCCTCAGGGCGGCCGCTGCCACCCCAGCTCAGACAGAGGGCCATGGCCTGGGAGACCCCGCACCTGCTGCCCCTTGTCCTACTGGTGTTCCTGACCTCAGGTGAGGGCAGAGGCGAGGGGTAGAGGAGGAGGGATGCTGGTGAGGTGGCCTGAGGGGCGTGCGAAGGAGGGGCGAGTCGGTGGGAGGCGGGTGAGCAGGGGACAGGAGGGGGGTCGGGGGCACTGAGTGTAGCAGAGAGGACTTCCTGAGGAGGGGGCCCCTTGTCCTGCTGGTGCTCCTGACCTCAGGTGAGGGCTGAGGTGAGGGGAAGAGGAGGAGGGATGCTAGTGAGGTGGCCTGAGGGGCGTGCGAAGGAGGGGCGAGTCGGTGGGAGGCGGGTGAGCAGGGGACAGGAGGGGGGTCGGGGGCACTGAGTG